AGAGAGAGAGAGAGAGAGAGAGAGAGAGAGAGAGAGAGAGAGAGAGAGAGAGAGAGAGAGAGAGAAAGAGAGAGAGAGAGAGTTGACATTGCGACTTGACATTGTATGAGAAGTGACATTGGGATACATTGGAGACTGGATTCACCGGGCTATGGTGGCTGATCCTCCCTATCTCCTCCACCCTTCGTCTCTTCTCCCCCATCTTCTTATGTGTATGCGGTCAGGCTCAGCACATCTTCTACGCTTGCTGCACTGAGCCATTCACGTTGTGTGATGATGGTTGCAGTCAGGTCCTGACATTGTCCTCACTGAGTCAGATCCTGGTATTTCAGTCTTCTGCTGCGCCATTTTTGTATTGCCTCTGAGAGGTCGCTTCTTGGTTCTGATCGGCATGCGACACTCTCCCTCTTCTCCACCTACTCCTCCATAGCTGTGGAGGTCTTCTTCATCACCATCAACTCCTCCTACGTGGAACAGAAGCATGACTGCCAGATGTCTCCATTCTCCCTCTATGATGGGTGAAAATACTACTCCCTCTGCCTCCCTTCTCCCTCTACATGGAACAGAAGCATGACTGCCTGATGAATGCCCGACCCTCTCATTGTGCTGAACGATATACTCTCGCCTCTTGGCCTCCTGTCCTTCTACCCCAAGTATTTTCTCAGCCTCTACTAGTGGACTCGGGCCTACCGGTTTCATCAGTGCAGAGTCTGCAGACTGTTATCTTATCTACGAGTACCTAGACCTAAACTTGACCTGATACATGCCCACACCATCATCTACCTGCTATCCTACCTGGTATATTCTAAGGTCTCTCCTAGTTGCTGGAAAATCCCAACCGGGTCTCTTGCAAATTCTAGTATTCTACCAATTTCTACGTTTGTCTTCGGCCTCCCTAGAATTTCCGGTAAGTCCTCTCAACACCAAATTTCAGTTCTGTCCCTGTATCTACACCTATTCGCCATCCTACCAACCTCTGTCCGACATACAGAAACTCAGCACACAAAACGGAGTTGGCACAGGGACACAGACTCAGACTTCCACCGACAAGCACACGGACCTACACACATTATCAGCACACTCAGCAAACGCAGCAGAATAGAGTCCGACTGAAATCGCACCAAAACTGATCCAGATCAACGACAACCACTTTCCCAGGAAACAATCCAGATGAATTGCACTTGCACTTTAAGTCTTTCTTTCTCCCCCCCCACCTCTCTGCCTCCCAAACCCCCCTTTTCTTCATTTAATTTAGAGATCACAGAAACAAGGGGTGGAGGTTGCTGTGTACTACGACTGATGGTGCTCTGGGGTAGGGCAAGTTTCCTGGTGGGGATGGACCCTCCTCCCTCCCCCCCCCCGCCTCCCCTTCCTCCCGGTTTTCTGAGTTTCTGGCCATGGTCCGTTATCTGTGATTCTTCGCTGAAGATGCTCCATTGCAAACGTCGTTGGCGACGATAGTCCAAAATTGCCTGGCTTGTATGTGCTGTTTTTTTTTTTTGGGATTGTATGTGCTCTTGCCGAGGTTAGCATGGCAAGCTACTGCGCAGGGTGGGTGGTTGTTGATGGTCCTCCTTTTTCTTCCTTCTTTTTCGGTCTCAAATCTTCTTCGTTCCCCTCTCCTGCCCCCCCCAAGCGAAGCAATTGGCTGACTATTTTCTGGTCATGGGCTCTTATCTGGATTCGAATCGAACTAGGGGGTTTGTATTTTCAACAGTTTGCTGGTGTACCAACTGAGCTAGGCTCGTTGGATGGACTGCCCAGAAATAGATCAACGGTGGGAAGACGATGTTGATGGCATTCATACAGCAATGGAAGAATTCGTCCCCGGTTGGCGCTGCTACCGTTATGCAGTGAAGAAGTCCACTCACAGGAGGGTGGGACCGTGATGGGAGGATTGTTTGTTTGTTTTGCCTGTTTGATATGCGGAGATCTATGTGTATGCGCAGGCAGAGAAGATGTTGGTGGGGGTGGGGGTAATGGTGAGAATTCACCGAGGTAAAAGCTGCAAGAGAAAGGCGGGGGGTGAAAAAGGAAAAGGCGAGGTATTATGACTGCTGGACATGGTCAGTGTAGCACAGCGGGCAGCGTGGTCCTGGCATTATTATGAAGTGATATGTAGCTTTCCATATATGGTTGGAACTGGCTTGTTCCCTCCAATATGGTGGTTATAAATTATCACTGTACGTGGCCTGAAAGTTGTACCGAATGCAGTCAGATAGATCTTTAGATAAATGGCTTCTATTTGGACGAGAGGTCGACGGTAAGGCAGCAGGGCAGGGCAATAAGGTTCTATAAATAGCAGCAGCCAGTACGGGAACTGCTGACAGCACGAATGGGCCCATTTACGGCATTCGTATGTGGCGGCTGGTTGGTAGGTAGGATGAGCAGGCTCTTGGCTGTTGCCTGGGAGTGCCTTTTCCACTCACTGATTTTTCACAATCTTCTACTACAGTTTGGTCAGTGATTCCAAGAACAAATGAACAAATTGCACACGGGCCGGCTGGTTGGCAGGGGATGAGCAGAGGCCCTCGACAAACGAACAAATCGCCCAGACCATGTGCGCAAACGTAGGTAGGAAGTGCACACAGAGCGCAAGGATGTCGATGCACATAAGCTGAAGCATGGTGCTGGAAAAAGAAATGTGCCGACGAGGCACCGACTATGTTATTTTGACGTCGGTGACCCCTCTGGTTGTGTGACAAGGGGAGCGGGGAGGGGCTTCTTTATCTTCTTCTTCTTCGTCGTCTTCTTGTTGGTTCTTTGTTCTTTCCTTTCTTTTTTTCCCCCCTTCTTTGGGGTCTTAATTGTGAGGGTGGAAGTGGAGATGGGTGTTGGTATTCGTGATGGTCCATAGAATCAGCCATTCTATGTCCACAGAAATTGCTTGCGTCATTAACATTGGCGCTGTTTTTTTTTTTTTTTTTTTGGTCTGTGAATACCGCGGTGCTTTAAGAGAGGACTCGTCTTCTATCAAATCACTTCACTTTTTCCCCCCTGAATACAGTGTTTTTTTAAGAGGAGAAGAGTTGTCTTCCATCAAATCAACAGCAATTGCTAAGAACAAAGGCATCGCAAAGTGATTTGTACAGTTTGTTGCTGGCGTCTGTGGTGATCTCACCTTCTTCTTCTTCTTCTTCTTTCTGGCAGCAAGCATTTCTGCATGCCATTTCCGCCATCTGCGCTGGATCTTTGTGGCACAGTCATTCAGCATTTTCTTGTACTCCTCCTCTTTCTGCATGCCACCAAAAGTCGAATAACATGTCCAATAACGATGAACAGCAATGGATGCAGGAAGGTCAGCAAGTTGAGGGAGCTGGAACGGCATTTGCCATGCTCCTTGGAGAAGGGGAGAGGTCAGCAAACGTGCAGAACACCAGGGCACACAGGAATAAAAGGATTGAAATTTGAAAGGATTTTTATGCGCCTCAGTGTTGAAATCCAAGTACCGGCCCCGAAGTCCAGCGTCCCATGGACCATGGTACCCATCAATCCGGTAGGGTAAGTTAGGTCGAGTTTGGTAGATGGGTTAGGATCCAGGAAGTCTGCTGGTCCACTCTGTCCGTCAGTCAGTAGGTCCACCCCAGTTGGCAGATCAGTCCCACAAAAGTCAGAGACACCACCGGAACCGTGGCCGGCAGAGGGAGCTGGTACCAGAAAAGGCCAAGATTGGGGACTGCAACGAAGTACAAAAAGTGCTGGTAGCAGCAAGGCATCGACACAATGGGTACCAGAAAATTTAGACTGGCAACCACAGTGAAGCACAAAAGACCAGTGGCAGCAAGGCGTCAACACAGGCTTTGCTGCAGAAGCCGTGCTACAGCTCAGTGCTACCAAGCGTTGAGTGAGGTGGACAGGCAGCGAGCGATAGGAAGGAGTGGATGTTGCCGGGCGCCATAGCTGTGTGTGTGTGTGTGTGTGTGTGTGTGTGTGTGTGTGTGTGTGTGTGTGTGTGTGTGTGAGAGAGAGAGAGAGAGAGAGNTCCCCCCCCTCTTTTCAACAGTCTTTTGCTGATGAATGGCATTCGGAACATCTGTGTGTGATTCACCTGGCATCAAGGCACAGAGGGATTCCCTTTTCTAAGGTTTTTTTCCTGCTTTGTTTAAAAATAAAACAAAAAACTTAGAAGCTTAAAGACTGGCATAACTCAGCCACCCGACAGGGCTTAAACAGCGAGCACAGGCCCGAACAACAAGACGTCAGAGCCACATGAGGCAGGCCAAGATCCAATCTGTGTTCATTTCTGCTGTCCTTGCATTAATTGTTATAGCTGACAGGTTTCCATGTGGAAGGAACTTGAGAGGGAACGCAGAGATAGGCAAGCTGACAGTCAATCCTCCTCCCTCCTACAGAGGGAGTAATCAATGCTGATCAGGGTTCCTTCAGCCATACGGAAGGAAGCGTGAGTGTGTACTATGAAGGTGTATTCAAATTTTTACTTGACGGGGCAGTAGGAACCGGACTGATGCTCCCCAGAATGGGAATGGATCCAGGACCATAAGGACCTGTTTTACAAAAAGGAAAAAATAAGAACAAAGAAAATAAAAGAAAAAGAAAAAGAAAAAGAAAAAGAAAAAGAAAAAGAAAAAGAAAAAAGGTTCGAAGCTGAAGGATGCCAATGGGCCTAGCTCAGTTGGTAGACCCATGAACTATTAAAATACAGGCCGGAGTTTGAATCCAGATGCAACCAGATGAACGGAATCGAATAATCTGAATCACCTGGCACCGGTGTTCAGTGGTGATATCTCAAGGCCATTGCCCTTTTAAGCAAAGGGGAAAACAGAAAAGCAAAGCTTAGAAAAATCGAGGGGTTCTTTTTCTTCAATTTCTTGTGCATTTTATAAGAGCGATGTATTGTTGTACTCTTATGTGAGGGTTGGTTATTGTTGGGGGGATGCCGACGTGGATTTGTTTAATCAACTTTAATGTGTTTGCCACTGGTGGCTGTCTATTTGGCAGCAGGTTGTGGGTTCAATTCCCCTCTGTGAAGTGCATGTTTACATGAAGACGAAAATGCGTTCGGTTGTTCTGACGTCAGGCTGGTAGTCTCCACGATGGTCAGTGGAGAATGTGTTTGGTTGCGACCAGAGGGTTCCAGTAACCGTCATGGAGCGATCAGAGTCACAGCCATGGAGATGCGAGCTCGCAGTGTCCACCATGGTTCAAACCACCATGATATCTATAGCCAAGCTGCTGAAGCGGCACACGCAGAGAGGGGAGGAGGGAGATCGTACTCTTCCCATCTCCCCGGCCATCGACCAACCTTACGCCCCCGGTTATGTTTCCCAGATGTAAGTTTCATACCATCCACCTCTCCCATCTCTGTACTGGAATCATGGTTCCAAAAAGTGGTTCTTTTGCAGCAAGAGTGGGATTGTCACCACTCACAAGAGTGTTTCCCCGAAATGCATTAGCCACCACCTCCCCTCAACACCCCCTCTCTCCCTACCACCACCACGTCGTTTATTCGTATCCAGCAAGGATCACATGGTCATGCCAACCACCACCACGTCGTTTATTCTTTTCCTGCAACGATCACATGGTCATGCCAAATAATAATCCCTTCTCAACTCACTCTCTCTCCTCCTGAATGCCTTCAACAACAAGGCTGCCGATCTCAGTCAACAGGAGCAATGCTCCCCAATATCCATGTCAAACTTCACTCTTATCTCTCTCAATGGCGAGAAGAAGAAGAAGAAGAAGAAGAAGAAGAAGAAGAAGAAGAAGAAGAAGAAGAAAAGAGAATGGATTCCCTCATTCCCTCCCTCCCTCCCTCCCTCTGTGGAGTTCTAACGGGTGAAAGGCAGAGCCTTGAGCCACTGGTGTCGATGCAGGTCCGTAGTCACACTGTGCATGCTATAGTCCATACCATGGCACCTCCGAGCTGTGGAACCGCCAAGCTATGGTGCCGGATGAGTATCTCCCTCACTCTCCTTCCTCCTGCGGACCTCCCTTCTACTACCACGCTCTACTCCTGTCCATCACCTGTGTCCTCTACTGATTGCTCACTGCCGCTCTCGAGCAGTCTGGCGGTGTCAAGTATGTGAGTGCCCAATGTCTGCAGCTCGTGTCCTACTGCTGCTAAATATCTCTGGACCTAACTCCCTCGCATCCTTTCAGTCACGTGGGCCGTCCGATCTACCAAGATCCAACAGTCCCAGCGGAAGGCTAATAGCCCGGTCTTGAGGCCTACCTTCTTCCCCCGAATGTCATTATAGCTGTATTTGAGGCATCTTTCGGTCTAGATACAGCTAGAATGACCATATGACCAAATGTTGTATTCGGGGGAAGAAAGTAGGCAAACACATGTGGCCGGGTATCCAGTTCCAGGTCCCAGACCGGACAAACCTGGGCCCGGCAGTCATGGTTTAAGAAACAACTAGGTAGCAGAGCCATGTCCAGCCCGGTTTGTTTTGGACGTCTGGCCAAACAATCAAGGGAGCTTTGGGCCTATCTCAGTTGGTACACCCATGAACTGTTGAAATGCAGACCCCAAGTTCGAATCCAGGTGCAATCAGACGAGCAGAATAAAATAACTCTTAAGAATTAAGAAAGAATTAAGAAAACAATCAAGACCGAGGGCATATGATCTATGGGACAGCCTTTTCCTATCCCCTCTCCCTGAACACCCCCTCCAACTTCTCCTCTGGACTTCGAGAGCATATGACTAACTTACCCCCTAACCTGAGTAAAGTGGAAAGGAGGATCTGGTTCGGTATGATACGCAAAGTCGCACTCTGGGTCATTTGGAAAGAGAGATGTAGCAGAACGTTGGAGGACTCCAGGAATCCAACCAAGGGAGAAGGTTTGGGCTGCCACTTAAGGGTTGATTGAGGCGGAAATCCTAATCCAGTGGAAGAAGATCAAAAGACTCAAAACATGGGTGCAGAACAGTCCAGAGACGAAGAGAGGTGATGCATGTCTAAAGGAGCTGGCTGGCAGGAGGCAAAGTTGCATGTCTAGATGGACTCAACCTGAGATTGAAGGGGACTGGCACAACTCAGACATAGCATCAGGCCAAGAGACTTCCTGGATGCGAGAAGAACCACAAGCGACGGGGGTCTAGCCGACCAACCAGGGGACCGCTGAAGGCGTCGGCAAGGCACACATGGACAGGCAGGGGAGAGGGCACACATAGGCCTCATCAGATGGAGTGGGGAGGGGGAAGGTTTTGTGTTCCTATACTTCACCGATTTTTGGCTACCATCTCCTTCAATAAGACAATTCTGAGAGTAATCCTGGATGTATTGTACATGCCTCTGTAAAATGGGAAAATAAAGGGAAAAGCCTTCAAAAAGGTCAAAAAAAAAACACTATTACCAGCAGGGTTGCATTCCTGCCGACCGCCAACCCCGACCACCGACCGTATTGCAGCCGACCAATAGGGCCGACCGTTGGGGTGTGCAACACTGATTACCTGTCAAAAGATTTCCAGTGTGAATGCCACGCATATGACTGCCACTGGCATGCCCGAGCCCTGCAACGGATTGGGAGTCCAGGGGCAGTGAAATCCAGCTTTGGGCAAATGAGGCTTGGAGGTAGTGGCCTTTTGGAGACAAGCCTTCGCTGGTATACTCTGAGGCCGCAGAAAGACTTGGTCTGCCGGACCCAACATGGGTATCAAGGGGGGGAGGGGTGGAGAGCACAATAGTGAGCTTCGGTAATTCTCAATCCGCATTTCCTGTGAGGGAAACTGGGTGATCCAGGGATGTTAAATTCACATTTTAGTTGATAGAAACCGGGTAGGCCCTAACGTTATTGTTTCCATCTGTTTGCAATAGGATTTGAAGATTGAACCCACGATCTGTCTCAGCAGACAGCTCCAGGTGTGTAGTACTGTGTACCATTCAGCCACATGCACTGAGTAGTGTTTCATGATTTTTGTTTGTTGTGTTCTTTGTCTGTTTGCTTTGTCTTTCTTGTCTGTTTTGGCTTTTTTTTTCCTTCTTTTTCCTTTTTGAATTTGCCTTTTGGCCTTTCGGCGTTTCCTTTTGCTTTGTATTTTGGACTATTTTCTGTCTGTTTTCCCTTTGCTGTGTGTGTGTGTGTGTGTGTGTGCTGTTTCACCTTTTCCCCTCTTGCTCGTTTCGTCTTTTCTTACATGAAGGTCACATCAAGATGCAGAAGATGGTTTTCATTTCATGTAGGTGCTGTGTTCCTGGTCGGAATACTGGTCTTAAGCATTAAGGTTTCCAGGGCTTGGAATGCGCAGGTAACTTTTTTGAATTGCATTGTTTTTAAATTTGAATGTTTTAAACCACCACTACCCCCGAGCCTCTTCCACTGCTCGCCAGAAAAAGAAAAGAAGAGCCGTCACAACTTCATGTTCTTTTCTTTTGTTATGGTCCTGGAGGACCTGGAAAATCTCATGGTGCAAAAACATCTCAAACGAAAGAAAACTCGAAAGAGAAATAGACAAAGGGAAGAAGAATGGCGAATGGAAGAAGGAACACAAGTTGGAACCAACGTCGCTCCTCCCCCTCTACTCGCCACCATCTCTCTCCCCCATCATCTCCCCCAACATCTTTCTTTTTCTTTTTTTCTTTAAAAAGAAAAGAAAAAACAGAACTTTATGGTTCTGGCTCCTTTTCCATTCTGGGGAGCATCAGTCCGGTTCCTATTCCCTTCAAGTCCAAGATACTACAATGGTTACTCACTCACGCTCCTGCCCCTTATGGCGTGGAGGCCCAAAAGATGACATTGATTACTTCCTTGAAGGAGGAGGTACCGATCGTCACCCCTGCTTAAGTTAGCCTATTCTAGGCTGTTTTTTCTTTTAGAAGCTAAGAGTGTTAGCTACTTGACTTTGCTGGAACTATCCGGTCTCTTTTCTCTGTTCCTCACTGTCAATTGAGCCTATGGCGTGTCTCTGTTTTTCCGGGACAGAGGGTGTGACGGACCCCTTTGCTCTAATTCCGGTTTCCTTTGGAACAATTTTCCTTGAAAGTAACGTCTGAGGCTAAAACCCTAAACCCTAGATTACTGGTGGCGCGTTGACCAAGTTGGAGTAACGTCTGGAAGTAGCGTCTGAATACAACCTTGAAAGTAGCGAGTGAAGCTAAAACCCTAAACCCTGGAGATCTGGGAGGCAGGTTACATGTTGACAAAACTATTATCGGGAGCTTGGACCGCGTAGCTTGATGGGGGGCGGTGTGATGGGTAATCGGGGTTAGGATTTAGTGTGGTGTGGAAGACGTGGGTGTGTTGGGTTTGTGGTGTGGGCATGAGACCTGAAGGATCGGAAGGTATTTAGATTGGTGAGGGTGATGTTTGATGATGAGCGGTGGTTGGGGGGGGGTGTGGTGGTAGGTGATTAGGCTGGGTTGATTGAAAATGTTCATAGAGCGGTATCTGTTCCATTTAGTGAGATGGGGGATAGGTTGTTTGTTACTGTGGATTGTGTCGGAGTGGTAGGATTTTGGGTATTTGATGTGGGCATAACTAACCAGTCTTGTAAGCGCAATCTTTCTCTTTCAATTGTTCTTAGTTTCCTGTGGCCTAGATTCAGGGAAATGAATTTATTAATGATCTCTTTTTCTTATCTGAGGCATTTTGTAGGATTGGAGTTTCGTGTATGTTCTGTTCCATTGTGCTTGGATTTCAGTTTCGAGTGTTTGTTTAATGGCTATGAGGGGTTTTTCAGGGGTATTACTAGAATCCTTGAAAGTTGCTGTGCATCTCCTTTTCCAGATAGCCCAGAGGGTCGATTTTTTGATGAGTGAGAAGAAGAAAAGCTGAAAACCTTTGAGGGGTGGGTCTTTTCTACTTCTAGGAAAAGGGTGCCTGGGTTGATCGCGATGGTTTTATTGGAGTGTTTGTTCCAGGTTAATTCTATATAGTGCCAGATTTGCTTTGTCTTTGGGCAATCTATGAAGCAATGGTTGAGTGAGTCTTCGAGTTGGCTGTTGCACACCCCACACCAGGATGTTTGCTCAATGCCATTATCTTTCTTTCTTCTTTGCGAGCCAGAGATTGACAAGTATTGCACGAAATGTTATGAGCCATAGCAGACAAGCTAATTTGGGTGGTCTTGTGCAAACGATAGAGGTCCATGATGGGTTGATGTTGACCACTGTGATGGTATTTTCCTCCTTTTACCATCTTTTTTGTATGATTGTGTGTATGGAGGGGGGTCTGTTGTGGAGCTTGTAGCCTAATTTGGGTGTGTAGTCAGTGAGTACATAGTGGCGCTGTTTTGTGGAACCCGGGCTGGTTCGAGTCCAGGACCATTCAACTGCATCTATTTCTAGGTGTTTTATTTCTGTTTTGGGTCGGCAGACTATGTTTCTGTCTCCTTCTATGACCCAAATTCTTCTGAGGTTGGCTGATATGAAGGCCCCTTCTGCCCTTGGTTCTTTGCTGATGAAATTAGATGGGTTTCCTGGTTCCTGTAGGGGATGGATGGAACAGAGTATCCTGTTCTTATTCTGTAGGTTGCTGTGTGGGTTGTGTTTGTTCTCTGTTCGATGCCCAATCTCCCCACGTCCACTTTTGATTAGTCTTCAATAACTGGCGCCATTCTAGAGGTATGCTTTCAATGATGTGAGTGATGTTGGCCTGCAAGTTGTGGCAACCTTTTAGTAAGTTCCGCAGATCCTTTGCAGTCTTCTAGTTGTTTGTTGGTTCATTCCAGAGATGTTGCACTTGCCATACACCTTTTTCTACCCAATGTCCCCATTTGATGTCTGTTTTGGTGAGAGAGAAGCTGAGGCCATTTTCGTCTTTGATCCATGGGTTGCCAAAAAGGGGTTCTCTGATAACTTCATCTCTTTTCTCTGGGCCGATTTTATTATGTGGGAAGATCTTTCTCCATATGCGGATGAGTTGTTCCCATAATGATTTTGTGTTTCCTTTCTCTGTTTCCTCTTCTGTGTTGGGAGGGGGGGGGGGGTTGTTCTTTTCTCTTGGCAAAGGCCATGACTTGTTATGGATCCAAAAGAGGCCTGGCATGTTGGGGGGGGATTTATAAGGTGCCAAGTCCTTGATGTGACTTAGGGCCAGTGGTACCCATTGTAGGTTATTTTGCAAGGTGAGTTCGAATATCCATTTAGTCTGGAGGGCCTCAATCTGTCGGGCCGGATCTATAATACCTAGCCCTCCTCTGTCTTTGGATTGAGTGATGATTTGCCATGTGACCTTGTGAATGAAATGTTGTTTATCCGGGTTGCCTCTCCAAAGGTAGGCAGCTGCCCTGTGGCGGATTTGTTTTTGGAAGGTGGGGAACCATATCGATGTGGAGTACCACATCGTTGATAAGATTGAGTTATTTAGGGCTAAGGCTTTCGAGAAGTGGGGTGTGAACTCCTTGCCAACTGTGCATTTTGTTGATCAATGGCGACATTAGGGATGCGGCCGACGAGGGGTGGCACCCTTTTGTGCAAAGGTTTATGCCCAGGAAGCGGATTGGTGTGGTTGGGTCTGTCCATTGTAACCCTTCTGGGATAATTCTATGGGAGAGGGTGAGTCCGCTAGCCACCAATCGACAGTCTTTGTCCAATTCACTTTCATTTTTGACGCTAGTTGAAAGGCTTGCATAGCTCTTGTGAGGGCTTGGAATGAAGAATTTGATGCTCTTATAAGGACCGTGAGGTCATCTGCAAAAAGTAGGGTAGACGGAAGGTGGAGTGTGTGGCCTCTATTGTCCTTGATACTATCTAATCTTTCTATGCATTTGTCCTTTCTGAGGAAGCCCGCAATTGCTTCCATAACGAAGAGGAAAATGGGTGCTGCCAGTGGGTCTCCCTGTCTTACCGATCTTGTCATTTTGTATGGGTTGGAGAGGAAGCCTTTTACCTGGACTATGCCCTGTGCATCTTTGTAGAGGATTCTCACCCATTTACGGATGTTCGGGCCTACTCCCATTGTCTCCATACAGGTCTATAGGAATCCCAGTTGACTTGGTCGTAGGCTTTCTCAAAGTCCAAGAAGAGTATTGCTGCCGTTATTCGTTTCTGAGTGATTAGCCCAGTGGACTCACAGAGGGTCTAACGTTTTCTAGTATGAGCCTGCCTGGAATGAATCCTGTTTGGTCTAGATGGAAGCAGTTACCGGTGATGTGGTTGATTCTTGTGGCTAGGAGTTTGGCCAGGATTTTGTAGGCAACAATGAGGAGGGAGATGGGTCTATAATTTTTTATGTTCGTCTCCTTTCTTGTAGAGTAAGGTCACAACTCCGGTGCTTAGGTCTGGCTCAAGGATTCATGTTCCCATGCCTTATTAAGGAAGCGTAGGTAAAGGGGGCCGAGTGAGGGCCAACTTGCATCCCAGAATTCTTTTGAGAGGCCATCTTTGTCTGGTGCTTTGTTGGGTTTTAGGTCCTTGAGGGCTACGTGGAGTTCTTCGAGTGTGATTGGTTCCTCCAGTTTGTTGGCAGCTTCGGTCGATAGGCTATGATCCAAGTGAGTCAGGAATGTCGATCTGGGTCTTTTCACTTCATTGTTGTTTTCTGTAGTCATTTTGCTAGTGTAGAGTTCTTTGTAGAATTTGGTAGCTATGTTGATCAAGTGTGTGGTTTTTGTAGTGGGGTTATCATATTCATCTAAGAGGCTTTCTATCTTGGAGTTTATGGAATTGGCTTTAATTTTCTGAAAGAAGATTTTAGACATTTTTTTGTTTAACTCTTAGTCCCTCACTCTTGCTCTTAATTGAAGGCCCCTGAGTTTTAGTTTTGTCCATTCTGTTAATTCTTCTTTAGAGTCGGAGAAGAAAGCCGATTTGGGGTTTTGTTGTAAGTTGAGTTCTGCTATGTCTATTGCGTCCTTTAGTGCTTCCTCTCTTGCCTTCCTCTTTGCTGCTAGTTTTCTTGATGTTTGGGCTACCTTTGAACTTATTTCCTTGAGGAGCTTTGGGAATTTGGTGTAGATATCTTTGTTGGGGTGCTGGTTGATTGTATTTGCAAGGATTGTGGTGAGTTCACTCTCAAAGGCTTGGGAGGTGAGCAAGGGATTTTTGAAATGGTAAAAACTTTTGCCTGTGTAGCCCGATGTCGCTAGTTTGAGGGCTAGCGTGATTGGTTTGTAATCAAGGCCGCCATGATATGGTGAGCTTCCTATGTTGCAATCGTGTAGGGCTCCTATCAATGAATCAGAGGTAAGGAAGAAGTCTATTCTCGACGATGATGTTATGCCTTGCGTGGTTCTTCGTACGCATGAGAATCTTTTGTTAGTTGAGTGTAGTACACGGAATGGGTCTACTAGGCCTTTCCTTGTCACGA